TTTTTTGTACTTTTTGAAGGATAACTGAGTCTATGATTAATTGTTCCTTGCAGCCTTGGCTGAATTTGCGACATCCTTTTTGTTGTTCGGCTAAGATATTATTAGTGTCGATGTGTTGATATATTAGTTCAGATATACAAGATGTGATAATTTTGTACAAGGTCTGCAAGCATGTTATTGGTCGGTATTTTGCTGGATTTGAGAGATCATTACGATCTTTAGGTATCATAAAAGTTGTACCTGAAGTTACGTAGGACGGTATTGTTTTAGGATCCTGTATGAAAATATTTATGTAATTATAGAGAAAACTATGGGTAGATGTAAATTTTTTGTACCAATAACTATGAATGTTGTCTGAACCGGGTGCTTTCCAATTATGTAAACGAGAAAGTACTTTATGGAAAATTACTGGGGATATGTGATCAAATGTCATTGCTTGAATATTTGTGTTGCTGTTTGTCAGTTCTGTTTGTATCCACTCTGCTTGGGCGTTATGTTCGATTGGTTGTTCCCAAATTCCTGCCCAGAAGTTTTGTAACGTCTCTGAGTCAGGGTAGTTATGATCAGGGTTGTTATCCTGAACGTTAGATGTCGCCTGTCTAATATTGCGGTAGAAGAGTTTTTCATTGTGGGTGAATTGAATATTTTGTAGTTTTCTTTGGGCACAAGCTTTGTATCGTTGTAGTCGGCCTGCTACGACTGACAGTTTTTGTTTAAGAGTGTCTAATGTGTGAGCTGCTTGTTTATTTGGTTCTTCATGAGCAGTATGGATTCTATATTGTTCTAGTATCTTGTTAACGTGTTTAATTATTTTCCTACTTCTATTGCCATTGATGAATTGTGTCATTTGTGCTATCTTTGAACGTAAATCATTTAATTTTCGTTCTAATCGCGTCTCCCAGTTAGGTTTATATTCTTTTTTTGCCCTTTGGGTGACTTCTCTTGGTTGAAGGGTTATCTTTGCTCCGTTAACTTTTGCCGCAGTCCATGCCGCACAATATATAGTAGTTTGTAAGGTATAGAAGTCAGTTTCTTTGTTAACGTTTTCTGGTAATATTATTTTGTTTAGGTAGGTAACTATACGCGCTAGTTTTTTAGACGGTTTTTGTTTAGGAATAAACAATCTTTTTGTAGGGCTAGTTTCTTTAAAATATTGGAATGCTTGTTGGAACGTCTCATCTATTAGTGGATCCCTATCTAGGTTTGCTTGTGGGTTAGGTTGTATTTCTTCTGCAATGTTGATTTCAGTATGATTTAAAGTAAGTGAAGGTTCTTGTGTTGAGCTGATGTCAATGCTGTTTATAAATTGAGTTTCATAATTACTGTTGCGGTTTGGGTTTACTAGCGTCGTTTCGCTTGTAAAGTTGGTATAGTTAAAATTATGTAGTCGTAATTCTTCAGATACTTCTAGTTTTAATGAATTTAATCTGTCACTAGTGACGTAATTATTGTTCACAATTGCTCTCCTTTGATCAGCTATTCGTTGTTCGTTAAGATGAGCAAGTGCAGGAAATCTGTTGATAAAATCTTCATACATGCGTCTTCTATATGCTGTTTCGTTTCTGCCTAAATCTGTAACTCGATAATAAGAACGCATTATAGCTTCATTTAGTTCACTAGTCCATCTCATTCGGGTCTGGGTTCTATTTTTAGTACTATGTGTTTCTGGGGTTCTAGGTTGCATTTGGATAGATTGTGTGAGTGTAAGTATTTGTTGTACATGGTCGTTAGAGTTATGTGATTGTTGGGTCGAATGATTCAACTGTAGACGATCTAACTCTTCTTTTACGTCGTTTCGTATCTCTTCTATAGTTTTCTGTGGAAGTAGTTTATTGTTTATTATGGCTCTACGTTGGTCTCCTATTCTCTGTCGACTAACCTGCATGTTCGGGTATTTTTCTATAAATTTTATGTGGAGTGGTTCAAGATAAGTTTTTCTGTCTGTATCTAGTGCAGTCAATTGAAGGTAAGTGCGCAGTATGAACTTATTCATTTCAGGTGTCCATCGTCTGCGCGTACTTGAGGCGCTTGTAGTGGGTGCAGGCTTAGAGTCAAGGTTGACTTCCTGCACAACACTATCAAGCGTGCTGGTGGTGGACAAGCTAACTGATTTTCTTGTCACGTAAGAGGGTCGAGTCGAAGGGATGGATGAAAATAATGAAATAGTATCATCGCCCGTGGAATCGGCTGTAGCTTCTACGTAGTGAGCCCGCCTGTTCAACTCACTACGACCAGCTGTAGCAGTTTTTTCGGTGGGAGCCCGCTTGCTCAACTCCTCACCGCCGATGGTTCGCATGCTGTGGCACCTAGCATCGGCTCCAGATGCGCCCCGGCGCTCCCCGGGCAGCGACCGTAAATTATATACTCTCTTATTACTCATCTCCATAAAGGGTTACCTTTCCTTGTTAGCCGCGTAAGTTTTTTGTACTGTTGTACAGTACGCGTGTCCGCCCCCCACGTAGCTAGGTGTTCAGCTTGGACGTAAGGTAGGATTTTAGGGGGCTTATTATTATTATTATTATTAACCACTCCTGGTACGCTTAAAACGCTTGTGTTGGGAGCGGTTCACGACAGCAGTCGAATGGCGGATTTGAACTCACGACCTTAAGTGAACGGTTTGCACCCTGCCATTAGGCTAATGTCGCTTATTTTAGATTATTCAAATTTTGATGTTAAAATTAATAAAATTAATATATAATTGTTAAAGTGCAAATTGATAATGATTGTCTATGGGTATAGCGAAGACAGTAACTATTCATTATGACTGATTATATTTTTAACCAAGTTTAAAAATGAGAAGGAAAACGAGAAGGTTTTATAATCAACGCGTATGTTTTTTTTATAGATGCTGAACCTCCAATAGTTCTTTTTTTTATTAAATAGGATACACTTCTGGAGTAGTCCCATATAATTTTGTGTTCCACAAAATAGCGTCTAAATTCTGAATTAAATTGTTTTTTTAGTTATTAAGCAATTTTGTACTTTTTAAACTTAAGTTTTAAGTAATTTTATCTCAACGACATTACAAATCGTCAGGTCATTTTTACTGTTTAGTATAGAAGTCAGAAAGATCAGCAAAAATTATGTAATTTTTTACCAAATGTATGCGATAATACTTTGCGTAGAGACATGCGATAGTAAGAGTCTTGTCGTATTATTGCATGTCACTACGCAAAGACAGAAGAGACTTATCTTTCCGTAGGCTGTTATGCATTTAGTCAGAGGGACGTCCCTTATTAGAAAATTGGACTGACACATACCTTGCTCGCCGTTGGCAATTATATCTGTGTTATAGTCACAATGATATTGAATAATGCGGCAATGTTTTATTTTAATTCCTTTACAATGATTTATTACCAAAAAAAGTGTGTGTGTACTTATGTACGCATGTAGGAAGTTATACTTCTTTAGCGTAACAAAACAAAAAAACTTGAAAAGACAATTACCGACAGAAGTTGTTGCTTTTAGGTGTCGGTGTGCGCGCGCATAGTAACAATTTACTCTCATCATTTTTATAAACTTTGAAATTTTATAAAATTTCAAGCACTTTTGTTTTACATTAAATGTCTGACAAATTAAAATGCCCTTGGTGAAATGCAAGGCATTACCTAATAAAAGAAATGAATAAATAAATAACAAGTTGAATAATGTATTGACTTTAGATACTTAATATTAAAATTAATTTAACCTTGAAGGAAATAAAATCTATCAATAATATCGGTAGCGCCTCTGTATTACAATGTAGTTTCAATCACAACTTCGAGATAATATTGGCAGCCTAGCAAATTGGTGTCGAAATAAAAATGTGCAAATAAATATTGTCAATTTTTTACACGCGTAAAATATCACCAAATTTAGCGGTTGTTACCAAAACAGAAGATGGGCAGCAGCATCTTCCTGATAACAACACAAAATAATAAAAAAAACAGCGGTTGTCTACCCACATGTCAAGCGTGGTAACTATGGCAAAATAGGAGCCTATGAGGCTTTCTATGGGAGAGGTCTATGCTTATTAGTGTACTTTTATAGGCTTTTATGGATGGAATCAGTGCTCAACCCAAGCACGTTGGCCATAAAACAACATTATCCACACTGTCGTGGGCCTTTTCTAAGCCTAAAATGTGCAGGAAATTTTCTTTTGGTCAAAAACTACTTTAGCTCACATTTAAAGTTAAGTTTATAGTATTATGGTTTGTTGGTATTTAGAATTTCATGATAAACTCTCAGACCAACAGAAAAATATGTTAAATATGGTTATTTATCGAAAGATATATTGATTTACCCTACATCACCATATTTAAATTTTATCCAATTTAAAGCAACTCATCTCTTGAAAAAGGAATAGTAAAAAATACTACATATTCGACATGGCTTATGCTCCTTTAAGATTCACACACCATTCTAATAATTTAACAATTTAACGCAAACAATTTTAGTACCCCCGGTTAAGGCTCACGAATTGAGAAATAAATATAATCTTTAAAGTTATTTTTGTAATTATTTAAAAATTGTAATGCAATAAAATCCTATCTACATCTGTTTCAAAATAAAATGATTTTTTTATTTTATTCAGAATAAACATTAGGAAACTAAAAATCTACATTAAAAGTCAACGCTGATCTCATTGGCTACGAACATTGATTGATAAATAAATATAATCATTACAGATATTTTTGTAATTATTTAAAAATTGTAATGCAATAAAATCCTAATTACATCTGTTTCAAAATAAAATGATTTTTTTATTTTATTCAGAATAAACATTAGGAAACTAAAAATCTACATTAAAATCAACGCTGATCTCATTGTCATATTATAATTATATAAAAAAATAATTTTATTATTTTATTAAAATTTATATATTAAAATAATTACCTACTATGTTTTTATATTAGCAATAAAATATTTCCAAATAGTTAACTGTACCTTTTAAATACACTAAAAATATCTGTCCTTTACGTTTAATATTTTTTAAAGATATAAATATGTTAGAGACAAACCTTAGTATATTTGATTTCAACTTTCACCATCTTTATTTCGGTAATGTTAACACGTGTGGCTTTAACGAGGGCTCCCGCAAACTAACTAATGTACACATTACACAATACATTAAACATACCTCTACCACGTTATCTAGTATCGCTCTAGAAGTATTTACGTAGCTAACAGTAAGGAGTTTTGATATAATATGACGTGGACTATTTCGATAACAAATATTATCAAAAAATTCGATAGCATTCATACCAGCGAGCATCATTGAACTAACGTCGGTAATCGTAGTTTTTATTTTACAGGAAAAATGATTTACTGTTTTTGAGGTATAACTCAAGAAAGCGTTGGAATAACTAATTTTGATGTTGGCATAGAGTTAAATAATTTTGAAAGTTAGAAATATCGGAAAATACAAATTAATGAAAATTCGCTAATAACCACATTGTTTAGTATTGTTAACATACCTACCATACGGGATTATTGTGGTAAATTTCTCAAAATTAAATTTCTAAAAACATTTTACTGCTGACGTATTGGACCATTGATTTTACTTAAGAGGAAAAGTTATTGCGGCACTTTAAAATAGATTAGGCAAAGGCAAAGACATAAAACTCTGTTTTTTCAGTAAAAATTACAATTATATTTCGTAAGTAATCGTCTAATACTAGTAAAATTTTCAAGATTAAAGTGTAATGCCAAGTTTTATAAAAACATTTCAAAATTATGATTATAATAATTTTAATTTATTTTATACTTAGCGATCTGCTCCGGCTTTTCACGGGTGATTTCACATCAGCGCCACCTACCGTGTACAATTATGAAACAAACTCAAATACAAAAAAATCATTTAAATCGGTCGAGCCAGTTTTAGCGAGACAAAATCTCGCTTGACTCAAATATTTTTTATTTATTTATCAAAACAAAAACATGTTTTCGTTTTCGATTTGGTAAATTCCTATTACCGCAGTATTAGCGTAAACAAATAATATTGAAGTACTTAGTGAACATGATTGCATTAATTTTTTAGAACCAAAGTAACCGACACAGCCCAATGGATTAGTAAGCTGAAGTGGCAATGGGCCGGCCATATATTTCGAAGAATCGACGACCGACATGACCTGGTAAGATATGCAGGTCAAATCAATGGATGCAGAAGGCTCGGGACCGTGCTTTGTGGCGTTCCTTGGGGGAGCCTATGTTCAGCAATGGACTTGTGAAGGGCTGTAATGAATGAAAAAAAATGTTTAGCTTTATTTTAAGTAAAATCAATCAAGCAATGGGATCTAATGTTATTTTATGAGATTAATAGTATACTTTTTATTATATGATTTAACATTTAGACGGCTCCGTGGCGTAGTGGCTTAGCAATGAGTTGCTGCGCTGGGGACGCGGGTTCGAATCCCGCACAGAACAAGTATTTGTATGGCATACAAATAATTATTCCGGGTCTGGATGTTTGTCCTTGTGCTATTTGTGTTTGTAAACTGCTTCCACGATACAGGAGAAAATCATAGTGTGCGGGTAACGTATTTTTAAGAAAAGAAAAGAAAAAAGATTTACGCATAATGTATTTGATATTCGTTACAAGTCCGACAGTTTGTAAGGCGTAATGCATCTCTAGAAAAACGATATACTACGAGTACGAGTAAGTTACCATTAAGAAATGAATGAAAAGTTTGGACGCAAAAGGCAGAAACGTACCTATAAGCTGGCAGAGATGAAACAATTGCAAATTTTGATTTGCGAAAAGTTTTGTATACACCACTATTTAATATGGGTATCTTATGAAGGTCGAAATTGGGGACAACGAAAACAAAGGCAATTCCATGCGTCTGTAAAAAAAGTAACATGAAAACTAAAGTTCACTATCTAAACAATCTACAACATTATTTTGAATTTTATAACAGTGAAAAATATCAATTGATTTGTGCAATCTAATGTGATTATCTGGTGAGTGTCGTAAAAGGCGATAGAGAGAAATAAAACAGGCGAGGGTAAGCAGCACTTTCCTGAAAATACTCAAAATAATAAAAGAACTGAGACTGCTATCCCGCCTGCCATGCGTGACACTCGATAATTGGCAGAAATCTAGATAATTGGTAACATAATAAAGATTTAACATTATTCGATGATTTAATGGAGGTCGGTTTTTTTATAGGAGAGGGGGCAAACGAGCTTGCGGCTTACCTGATGATAAGTGACTACCGCCGCTCATGAACAACTGCAATACCAGGGGAATTGCAGATGCATTGCCGGCCTTTTAAAAAGGAGTAGGCTCTTTTCTTGAAGGTCCCTGAGACGTATTGGTCCAGAAAAATCGCTGGTGGTAATAGATTCCACAAGGAAGTTGTGCGAAGAAGAAAACTTCTTCTAAATCGCACAGTGGTGGGCCGCCAATCATCCAGATGGTGTGGACAGTATAGCGGGTTTTGTCGCGATGTGCGATGGTGAAATTGAGCGACTGGAATTAGTCCGAACAATTCCTCAGAGCACTCCCCGTGGTAAATGTGATGAAATACGCAAAGAGGCTCTACGCAAAGAGGCTCTACGTTAAGTAGTTAAGCCGATCGAAAAAGAGTTTGGTCGCCGACGATTCGAACAGCTCTGCGCTGGATGCAATCAAATGGAAGGAGCTGGCATTGGGGAGTCCCCGCCCAGAGATGGGAACAGTATTCCATGTGCAGCCGAACCTGCGCCTTGTAAAGTTGCAGGCGGTGTACCGGCAGGAAATATTGTCCCACTCTGCTGAGTACGCCAAGCTTTTTAGAGGCCAATTTGGCCTTCTCTTCCAATTGATCACGAAACTGCACGTTCCGATACTGGCTGAGGCAACAAAGGGAGTGCCTTGAAATTGAGGAGATACAACGAAGGGGCTCTTTTTAGCGGTAAACGCGCAAACTTGTGTCTTATGGGGATTAAACTGGACTAGATTTAGACGCCCCCAGTCCGAGACCTTGCTCAACAAAGTTTCGACTTCAGACACAAGTTTGTCTCGGTACTCAGCGACGTTTTTCCGAGAAATATTGGCACGGCCGGTGTATAAAGCATCACCAGTGTTGTCATCCGCATAGCAATGAATGTTACCGGTTTGCAACATGTCATTGATATGCAGAAGAAACAGCGTTGGCGATAGCACGCAGCCTTGTGGAACACTATCGTTAATGGGCTTGTAATCGGAGCATGCACCGTCTACTACGACCTTGATGCTCCGCTCTGCAAGAAAACTGGTGATCCAATTTTACAATTTCTCGGGAAGCCCATAGGATGGAAGTTTCATAAGAAGCGCTTTGTGCCAAACCCGATCGAAGGCTTTCGCTATGCCCAAACTAACAGCCAACGCCTCCCCCTTGGACTCTACTGCCTCCGTTTATGAGTTAGGTAACCTAGATCACCAGCCGAGCGACCGAGACAAAAAAGTACTGACGGTCAATGATCAGCTAGTGATCCTCAAGGTATGCATCTCTGAATTCATAGTCTAAATTCATATTATTAATTAAAAAAGCCCAGAATTTCATACAATTTAACTATTCTCCACACACATTCTGATTTTGTCAGATTATGATTTCCTCAGATCGATCTGTAAGAATGACACTGACGAGCGTTCTGAATTGCGAATCGGAATATTGAAGATTATGATTTCATATCGCGCGTTTTTCTTTAAATTTGGACACGCAAGCACACACACAGCGGAATCAGAATATGAATTATTTCAGTTGACACTGCGAGCGGTAACGGCTAGACGTGTTGCGACTTGTGAAGTTTTTTTTTTATATTAGAGGGGGGCAAACAAGCATGGAGCTCACCTGATGGTAAGTGACTACCACCGCCCATGAACAACAGCAACATCGGGGGAATTGAATTAATCTATACAAATAATTAAAATTGAAATGTCTGCTTGTAAAGACAGAATAACAGCTTTTTACTAAATGCATATGAAATAATATACGGTACCAATAAGAAAAAACAATTTTTAACATTTTGTCTGTCTGTCTATCTGTTTGTTCCGGCTAATCTACGAAATGGCTGCACCAATTTTGACGGGACTTTTGTTGGCAGATAGCTGATGTTATAAGGATTAACTTAGGCTACTTTTATTTTATAAAAAGAACTAAGGTTCTGCGCATAAAAATTAAATCCCATGAAATCTAATCGCAATAAATTCCACGTGGGCGAAGTCACGGGGAACAGTAAATGTCAAGTCTCTTTAACTGCATTATTATAAGTTGTCCTAAACCTATTCACGGGGATAGTGTGGGTTCGCTCCACAGTTACAAAAACACACAATAATTCGTTTATTCGAATGCAGATGGTATGCTTGGGGCAATTCAATGTTCTCCAAATGCAATGCAAATGCAATGCAAAAATGCAATTCAATATTCATCAACAGCGGAGCTTTTATTTAATTTCTTGAATTTTCAAAAATATACCTCAAAATAGTGTGTAAGACACCGAAACTTTTAACAGTGGTAGGCCACGCTGCAGCTTCTGTCGTAGAATGAATGGGCCGGCTCGAACCGGGGCAGTAACACAACCTCATAGAATACCAACGTTAAGTAGAGGCTTTGCTTATGCGTTTCGCTTAGTTAGTGCTGTTGGTCGGAGACTCCAAATAACATGGTAGCGGAATTCAAAAAGAAAAGACTATCCCAGGAGGGTACCAGCATCCCTTATAATGGCGAATCCCTCACTGACCATCCACAGACAAGCTAATTTCTTCTTCTTGAGCGTGGGTGCTTAGGCTGCCCCGCGTATTCTGTGGGGAGGGCGGGGGGGGGGGGGGGGGGGGGCAAAATCCCGCTCTATACTAACACTGCAGGGAGCCAAACAGAGCGAAAAAACCATGGTGACCCCTGCCAAGCTATCCGTGGACTTCTGCAATATCAAGGGACTTCACTCAAACCTTAACGCCGTCCACTACCATCTAGAGTTGGCGAAGCCAGCCTTGATCTTTTTGACCGAGACACAGGTGTCCTCTCCGGCTGATACTTCGTATCTGTCCTACCTGGGGTACAAATTAGAACATTTCTTTTTACCCCGGGCTGGAGTTTCCGTATACGTCAGAGAGAATATCTGTTCTCGACTCCTCGGCAGTCTTGAAGGTACGAACCTGTCCATCCTTTGGCTGCGCGTAGACAGCGACGACCATCCCCGCGTCTTCGGGTCCGAGTCATGGACTACGTCCAAATAGCTACAGATTTCTTGCTACTATAGATCCCATCCGTATAGATCGTGATATTTGGCGATTTTAACGCCCACCGCGCCGAATGGCTCGGTTCACGTTTAACCGATCATGCAGGGAGATCTATTTATGACTTTGCCTTGGCATATGGTCTGACACAACTGGTTACTTCGCCTACGCGGATTACAGATGTGGAGGATCATACACCTTCCCTGTTGGACCTTCTGCTGACCTCTCATCCGTACGGATATCAGGTTTCAATCGATGCCCATCTTGGCTCTTCGGATCATTGTCTGATCCGAAGTGTGCTGCCACTCACGCCCCCCTCGCGGTTTTGCAGGCTGCTACCATGTTTGGCATTACATTTTGGCGGTTTGGAACTGAATGCGATCTTTCTTTGCATCGTACGCATGGGGGCGGGTTTGATTTTTGCCGGATGATCCCAGCGCTGTTGCTGACTTTGTTACTGATGTGGTGCTACAGAGAATGGAATTATTTATTTCATCATCTGTGGTAGCCATCGGAGGCAAATCTCAGCCTTTGTTTGGTCGCTCCTGTAAGACCGCATTACGCAGTAAGCAGGAGTGTTACCAGGCCTGAGCTGAAGCTTCGGCGGCTCGGGATGTAACCACCAGCATGCTTAAAAAGAAATATAACGTCGCCTCTATGTCCTTCAAAAGTGTTATTGCCAGGGCAAAGTATGATCACATTGACAGAATTGGCGAAAAATTAGTTCGCCTTTCTTCGGGACCCTGTGCATTCTTGTCTATCGCCAAGGCTGTTTAAGGGAATTTCTGTAAGCCATCACTACCATCTCTGTATAGGGAGGACGACTCACTGGCCCACGCCACAAAAGAAAAAGCCTATCTGCTAGGCTCCCTTTTTGCGTCCAACTCGACTCTCGATGACGGGAGAACACACCGCCGACCATCCCGCAGTGTGAGTGCTCTATGCCTGATGTGCGATCCACACAGTGCTCAGTACGCATAGCACTCCTCTTCCTAGACAAACACAAGTCTAGTGGGCCTGATGTAATCCCGCCAATTGTGTAGAGGACGTGCGCTCCAGTGTTAGCACCGGTTCTAATGTATCTTTTCCGGTACTTCTACTCCCTAGGCATTGTCCCGGATTCATGGAAGACAGCTTTCGTGCACCCGATTCCTAGATAAGGTAACCGTTCTGATCCATTCAACTACAGGCATATCGCCATCACCTCATTGTTCGCGAAAATAATGGAGTCCATTTTAACTGCTAGCTCATACGCTACCTTGAGGAGCACCAGCTAATTAGTGTCTGCCAGTACAGTTTCCGCCGGGGTTGCTCAGCTGGTGATCTTCTTGTTTACCTAGGACATAGATGGGCGCAGGCGGTCGAGTCTAAGAGGGAGACATTGGCCGTTAGTTTGGATATAGCGAAGGCCCTCGATCGGGTCGGGCGTAAAGCACTTCTTCTTTCGAAGCTTCCTTCCTATGGGTTTATCGAGAATTTGTGCAATTGGATCACCAGTTTTCTGGCTGATCGGAGCATGAAGGTTGTAGTAGACAGTGGTGTTCCACACGGCTGCGTGCTGTTTCTTCTGTATATCAATGATATGTTGCAATTCGGTAATATGCGGATGATAGCACTGGTGGTGCTCTATACACCGGCTGCACCAAAGTTTATCGGAAAAACGTCGCTGAGTACCACAAACTTGTGTCGGGAGTCGAGTCTTTGCTGAACAAAGTCTCGGATTGGGCGTGACTAAATCTAGTCCAATTTAATCCTCAGAAAACACAAGTTTGTGCGTTTACTGCTAAAAAGAACCCCTTTGTCGTATCTCCTTAGTTTCAAGGTACTCCCCTTGTTGCCTCAGCCGAAATCCTCGGCGTCGACATATCGAGTGACGTGCAGTTTCGTGGTCACTTGGAAGAGAAGGCTCTAAAAACCTTGGCGTGCTCAGCAGAGCGGGACAGTATTTCATGCCGGCACAACGCCTGCAACTTTACAAGGCGCAGGTTCGGCCTCACATGGAATGCTGTTGCCATCTCTGGGCTGGGGCTTCCCAGTGCCAGCTCCTTCCACTTGACCGCATCCAGCGCAGAGCGGCTCAAATCATCGACGACCGAGGCCTTTCCGATCGGCTCGACTCATTGGCGCTGCGAAGAGATGTTGTATCTCTTTGCATTTTCTTTCGCATTTACCACGGGGAGTGCTCTGAGGAATTGTTCGGATTAATCCCAGCCGCCTAATTTCACGAACGCACATCGCGGCAGAACTCCCGATACGATCCACACCATCTGGATGATTGGCGGTCCACCACTGTGCGATTTAGAAGATGTTTTTTTCCTCGCACAACTTCCTTGTGGAATAGTTTACCACCAGCGATTTTTCCGGACCGATACGACTTAGGAACCTTCAAGAAAAGAGCCTTCTCCTTTATTAAAAGGCCAGCAACGCATCTGCAATTCCCCTGGTGTTGCGGTTGTTCATGGGCGGCGGTAGTCACTTACCATCAGGTGAGCCGCATGCTCGTTTGCCTCCTCTCCTATATAAAAAAAAAACAGGAATTTACCAAATCGAACACGAAAAGATGTTTTTGTTTTGATGTTTAACGATATTATTCGGGTGATTACCAAGCTTGTAAATTTCCATACAGTAAAAGTGTTAGTATATAAGTCTCCTAAAAATAAAGCTAGAAAAAAATCTGGAAAAACTCCTCTGTGTGTCGTTCTGGGTATAGAATTTTCATCGATATATTTTTTCACACTGTCCTATCTTTATTATTAGTTCCGTGGACGCTCACTTCTGCTAACAGCGCCGAAATGGTGAAAACCAAATCGCCTCGTTATATCACGGTGTATAATAATAATAATTTATATTAATAATATTATAATTTTGTGACAATATATGTGATAATGTAATAATAATCATTTATTTCAATCCATCAGATCATAGTTACAGTAGTACATTTGAAATGAAATTTAAATTTTGAATTACATATGAATTAAAATTAAATTAAATTGAATTATATTAAAATAAAATTATTAATCAGACTTAAAGCCATTAAAACCAAATTAACATCATTAAATATAAAAATCAATAATATGACTGCGTCTGAGTAATTTTTTTGTTTGTTCTTACATTTATATAGCCAGTATAGCCAGTATAGCCAGCCCAGTGTACTTGTATAATAGAGGTCAGTGATTGGAATCAATAAATTATAGAATAGTAAAAAGTGAAATGGCTTCCTACATATACAAACATAGCTCTTCTCTCAATTTTATTTGTAAGAAGAAAATGGAGTAGGATAGTGCAGTGCAGCTGGTAACCGCAGTTTCTATTAGCATTGAGTCCCTATTAGGAAGATGCTGTGGAATTTACCTATTCTGTATAAATTTATTTATTTAATTATTAATAATATGCTCTAAAATAATTTAAATTACTTACTATAACCATATTATAATTATTATAAGCCGATACGACTCAGGAACCTTCAAGAAAAGAGCTTACACTTTTCTAAAAGGCCGGCAACGCATCTGCAATTCCCCTGGTGTTGCGGTTGTTCATGGGCGGCGGTAGTCACTTACCATCAGGTGAGCCGCATGCTCGTTTGCCCCCTTTTCTATAAAAAAAAAATTCAGAACCGCCCTCTACCCCACAATATCTATCTGATAATTTGATAGAGCCCAAATCCTCGCAAAAGGAAGCCGATTTCTAACAAGGATAATTCGCAAGGCTAGTGATATAAAAACATTCTAGTTTCAATTACAAAGGTGTTAGAGTATTATTCTTGTTCTTCTTGATTCTTGAAATCGTGAAACTAATAGAATTAAATCCAAAACCAAGCATACCACTGTAATACTTCATGATACAGTGAGCTCATCCTACTTAGTACAGACCAAAATTAATAATGAAAGGTCGATGGCAGCCAGTAGTACTAAGTGTCACTTTAAACGCCTCAGTCACCCTGTAAAAGTTGGTGCTGCAAAGCACTCGAAACACCTGGAATTTAATTTATGCTAAACTGAACGCCAATAAAATCAGTAAAATTAAATAAAACTACTTTTACGGATTCTATCACGTTTAATTTTTTTTTTAATAGGATAGGGTGACAAACGACCACACAGTCCACCTGATGGTAAGTGGTTACTGTGGCCCATAGACATCTACATTTATCCTCGTTTGCGAATCAAAATGCAGATGCGTTGTCATCCGTGAGGACTTAGATAGAATGCCTCTTTTCCAGTAAAAAGGGTCTCCGGTTCTCTACACTCATCATACGAAACACAGCAGCATGAAGCCGCTATTTGACGCTGGTATTCTGTGAGAGCGTGGTCCTTCCCCGGTCGAGCCGACCCATTCGTGCTACAACTATACTACTAATATAGCTGCAGCATGGCTCTACCACGTATAATTAATTTATTTTTATTAAATTTCCGACGTTTTGGGTGCTTTACAGCACCCATGGTCACGGAGGACTGAGGTGATTGACGTCTCGATGTCAGAATTAACCCGGTGTACCTTCAGCTTTTTTAATTATTAGTTTAAGACCGATCTACCCAAAATGAACTTACTGTGTCTTGAAGTCTTGCAGTGGTATGCTTGGGTTTAGTTTTAATTTTATTAATTACAGGATCCCAAGCAGTTGGTAGTATCCAGCCTCCCCCTCTATTGAAATTAGGATGTTTTTTAATTTCAGTAGCCTCACGTATCATCCTTGGCAGGAATCGATGTTCTATCGCGATAATTTGTGGTTTATCAAATCTAATATAATGGCGGGGGCCGTCTAAGATATGATCACATTCTGCAGATTTCCCGGAACGTTGGTGTTTCAAGTCAGCTATGTGTTCTTTCACGCGGGTTTTGATAGATCGTTTTGTTTGCCCTATATATGAGAGACCACATTCACAATCAAGCTTGTACACTCCTGTATCTTGTAGAGGGATATTGCACTTGACGGATGGCAAGAACTTACTAATCTTCTTCGGCGGCTTGAAGAATGTTCTAATAGAAGCTTGCTTCAAAATGTAGCCAATCCTGTCTGTGACACCTCTGACATATGGTATTACAGCAGGCACACGCTTGACTGTGGCCGGCTTCACTTCGTCATGAGGAAGATGGTAGGATTCACCGTTTGAATATCTATTTGTTTGGGTCTCTTTTCTATAAACAGTGTGACCTATGGTGTTGTTGGGATTTCGGATGACTAATAAAAGATAAGTTAATTAGATGCGATAAAATCCGTTAAAGTAGTTTTATTCAATGTGCAGTGTTCGTGTAAATATAAAAAAAATTATTAGTAAAGTTAGTTTCATTGTATGTCTATTCTTCTAAGTACTGATTTTTCAAACATCAGGTAAAAGTTATCCATCATCATATAGGTTAATTACAACCTAACTGAATATAAAAGAGAAACAATTGAACTATTATTCGCACAACTGTAATATTTAATTTGTTTACGGTGTTAATCATATGAATATATTTTAACTGAGGATTTAAAAATCAGCCTTAAGTAGAACAATTGAATTATTTTATTAATAACTCGACAACACTGCCACCTACCGGGTCCAATTGTGAATCTAAACCATTCTCTAATCACTTAATCACATACAAAATTTCATCAAAATCGTTCCAGCCGTTTAGGTGGAGTTCAGTAACATACTCACGGACAGAAGAATTATATAATATATAATATCCATGTATTATACATATTATAAACATTTCTTTTGAATCATTCTCTCTATTCATGAAAACTTCATCAAAATCCGTTGTAGTTTAAAAGATCTTTTGAAGTTCCTTATCGGACGGTACGAATTTGGCGGATGGGGGCTAGACAAGAAAAAGTATAAGATTTTTCCGTCACGACCACGTCTGACGTAGTGTAGACGGCCATGGCTGCTATAAGGAAGCGAGATGGAATAATGTCCATATACTTCGCACCTTTTCTTATCTTGCCATGAAAGAAATATTATTTTATTTTAAATGACGCTTCATTTTAATAAACGCTAGTAATTCATTTATTTGTATTTGTTAATCAGTAATATAAATACGTTTAGCGTTAATAATATACTGCGAAAGGATCTGCGTTGCAACCGAGTGTTCCACGACACTCACGTATGTTTTTTTTTAAATTTGTTTACGAGTTCGTATGAATAATAATTTCAATTTATTTATTAAAAATATTATTTGATATCCTTTTTAAAGCTTTTTTAAGCTAATGAGTTGATATAAAATATTGCCCGTATAAATTAAAATAATACCGTTACCGTTGCTGTTACTGCTTATAAATTTGCGACGGATTGACAACCACAGTTTTTATTTTTAGATAATTTTTTAATCTTCTAAGTATTCATTACTTTATCCTATATTTTATATGGTAGAGCCACGCTGCAGCTATACACAGCATCCACTTACCATCAGTTGGACTGCGTGCTCGTTTGTCACCCTCATTCTATAAAAAAGCCTAGTGGGACTCCATTTTTTCATAAATAAAGTTATGAAATCGTTGAAATAATAAAAAAAAAATGTGTCATCAAAACAGTCTGTCAAATTCTACTGCTGAACATAAGCATTCGCCGTATTTTACCTCACGGGGGAATATTAGCTATAGTTGCCTACTTGCCAGACGGGTTGGCAACCGCAGTTTTTTATCATTTTGTGTTATCAGTAAGATACTGCTGCCCATCTCCTGTTTCGTATTCCTCTGCTGCCTCTTCACTCTTTTCTTTTCACTGACACTCACGGAATGGTATGGAGTAGTGGATAAACTAGTTAAAGAAAATTTGTGTAAGAGTCCAAATGTGAACATTTTATATCTAAACAACAGTACAATTGTTTATTTCTTTATATTTTAGGACTTGATCCAGCTCGTCCTTTAGTCAGTGAATATGGGTCCCGTCGTTTTCGCTTGGGTCGAGAAGACGCTCATGTAGTACAAGTTTTCCATACAAACGCTGGATTCCTCGGTGAGGTGGGTGCCGTTGGTCACGCCGATTTCTGCATCAATGGTGGACAAAGACAACCTGGCTGTAAAGGACATTTCATGCGTGAGTATACGAATCTATAATTTCTCATTTTAACTGCATGTAAATTTTATTTCTTACTATCTTTAAACCGTGACTATGTCTGCGTGAAACTTAAACAAATATATGGAGATCTATAATAATGGTTTTTGGGCTTATCGAAACACCACTTTAAACTCAGGTTTCCGCTACAATCTCATACACTATGTGTGATATGAGAACATATTAAAATAAAAATATGAAGCTCTATTAGTTTCACTTAAAAAAGGTTTTATAACTTTATCCTTTAACATACGTAGTTTTGTAGTTTTGTTGTGGTAAAAAATGATAAAAATCGATTATTCATTAAAGCAAACAGATAAAAGTAATGTGTACCACTTTACTTCACTTCTTAAAGCTTAAGAGATCAAAACCCATTTATTTTATCAGTTTTCAATTCAACACAATAACTTGCATGTTTTTCGGATAAGAAGATAAGAAAACTAAAAAAAAAAGATAAGCCTAGGATATAAGTTTCATCACAATCGGTTCAACCATTTCGAAGAACTTCTGTCCAAGCAGTCAGACAGCAGACAGATATATAATTTAATAACAAACGGATTTAATAAAACGGACGGATGAACAAACGATTAAAAACGGTTTGGATATGTAGTACTTGCTTACAATATTTGGATGTAGGTAATTGTGGTATGCATACAAACGAGAGTTTTCGATATAAATTTTATATGTAAGCAACTATATCGATAGCATTATATATTCGACCTAAGCAATAATATCGATAGTAGGTTTAGTAGGTAGACGCGAAAGTTGAAAACTTGTGGTTCGCTAACTATTACAGGTATTTTATCCATAAGGTTACGTTATCATTTATTCTGACAATTTTTTTAATCCGGCACCTGAAATTGTTACTTACAATTTTACGTGTTGATACCGCGTACCGCGTGCTCAGCGGTAAACTAAAACATCAACAACAAGAAAACCTACATGTCTGAGAAAAAAAAGGATATGTTTCAAAGACATGTAAAGTTCGCACTACCCCAACACACGTTATGGCAACGCGGTGGACACTTCTTGCCCTAAACCCTCTTCAGAAATGAGAGGTTGCCTGTGCCCAGAAGTAGGACGTATATAGTTTGAAACTTTATGAAATAACAATTTTTCGAATCCATGTAGTCTTGAATGAGAAGAAGGATCTTTCTATAGTGTTTTCTGACATTAGTTGATTTAAAGACAGTAGAAGAATATTTTGCTTCTCATTACTAACATGTTTTAAGGACATTTTTTATACAATAAATAAATAAAATTGATTTATTTCAGACTTTGGTCCATAATATTGTTAGTAGCATAAAAAGAGATCTTAAAAACTAGGTTAGTAATATTTTGGAAAATATTTATTTTAATTTAAATATCTGCCTGCACTGCGCGACACCCCCGCAACATGTGTGTGAGCGTACACCCAGTGCCGCAGTATCGGACAGTCAGGCTTTTCTCTGATTACTCTGAGAATGGTGTTGGCGCTCCCCCGCACCGTGCGCAGGAGGGATGCGATTCGCTTGCGCACTACGGTGTAAAACCCATCAGTGTGCGCCAATGCGAACATCCCTGATGCACTACAGTAACTTGGAAGCCCCAACAACATTCTCAGACCATTATTATATTGTACTCGGAGAGCGTTGATAGCCCCCCGTGTGTAGTTCACCCATAGACTGCATGTATAAAGCGTTTGGCAGTATGCCTTAAACAGTGTTATTTTCACATCTGGATTGCTACGTGCAAATCTGCGAGCCAACATGTTGCAGCGGACTACCATCACCCTCCTTTCCCTTTCAATATCCTTGTCATCCTTCAAGTCCTCGGTAACCACGTGACCGAGATACTTGATAGATGGCACCCTTACAAGTTCGCTACCGTTAAGTTTGACAGGCGGTACATACATCACCTATCACATCACCTACGAGTCCTGGCTTTAAAAACCATCAACTCGCTTTTCCTAGCGTTATACAATAGGCCGTGGGATTTTGCATACTCCTCGCATATTGAGATCAGCCTTCTTAGAGCAGCAACTGACGGACTCAGCAACACCATGTCGTCTGCGTAACTGATGCTGTTTACACAGAGACCATCAATGAAACAGCCGACACTGGCGCTGCCAAGCCTAACAATCAGCTCGTCTACATACAAATTAAAAAGCGTCGGGGAGGTCAAACCACCCTGCCTCACCCCACACTCCAATCCGTACGCATCAGAATGCTGATCCAACCATTTGACTTGGTTAGTCTGGTGGCCATACCAATATTTAAGAATATTTATAATCTCACCAGGAACTCCTGAATTTTGTAGTTTTTTCCACAGGATGTCATACCTAACCAAGTGAAACGCCCTGGATAAGTCAAGAAAAGCCGCGTAAATTGGAGTCTTCCTATCCATATAATACCTGACAGTATGCTTGAGAGCCAGAATGGCGCACTCAGTTGACAGTTTTGGCCTGAAACCGAATTGAGCGTCGTGCAGAACCAGGTGACGCTTGAGCTGTTTCTCAACCAGACCGTCAAGTACTTTTGCTATGATAGTAGCTAATGAAATCGGCCGATAGTTGGTCTTATCGGATATATCTCCAGTTTTATTCTTAACAATAGGAACAACGACCGATCTCATCAACTCTGCAAAAAGGTATGAGTGTCTGATACAGAAAGTAAATAGCATACCTAGTAATCTCGGGAGGTGCGGCCCAGCATACATGAAGTGCTCAATGCTGAGGCCGTCATGACCCGGTGACTTGCCTGTTTTCATACCTTTAATTAACTGTTCAACCTCTTTAGCTGTCACACGTTTTGGCACACCAGATACGATTACCTCAACATCAGCACCCCGTGCATTTAGCTGCGACTGCACCCCAAAATGAGAACTGAACAAGTTAGCTATATCTCTGGGGTCTTGAATACCCTCAACGCTAACCGGTACGCTAGGCTTCGGACTTAATTTCCTGGTGTGTTTCCAGAAGCTTCGAAAATCTTTATCTTTGTGATAGGTAGCTAAAATATTAATTTTAATTAATTGTTTATTTATTTATTTATTTAAGCTTTATTTGCACACATATAAGAAATGTACAAAACGGCGGACTTAATGCCTAAAGGCATTCTCTACCAGTCTACCTTTGGTTTGTGCAGAGAATCTAGTGATGGGTGCAAAACTCATAATTAAAAAAAAAAATTAAAGGTTTAAGGAAAAAAAATACAAAATTATAATATAATGATAATAAATACAATACACATACATATACATTTACATTACTACTTACATGCATACAATAGTATTTTATACTTGTACACAAATACCCACAATAAATACATACACAGTAAATAAATATGATATTTTTATATTATACATATTTGAGAATATAACAGTTTCCGAGGTTTTTTAATTTTTTTTATTATTATCCGAAACTACTGCTGCTTCGTTAAGTAATATTCCCAGAGCAAACGTTTAAAGATAGGTTTAGTTTTTGCTTCTTTTATATTTCTGGGTAACATGTTCCAGAGTCTTACTGTATTTGAAGCGAAAGAATTGTAAGAGAAGCCCGTGCGACAGAAAGGAACATGAAGAGTTAGATTTTCCGCGGAACGGAGACATCGGTTGTGAGAATCGTCCTGATACTGAAATTTGCATTTCAGATGTGCAGGGACAGACGGATCGTGTAAAATAGAGAATAGCATAGAAAGGATTCTAAAAGATCTACGAAGTGGAAGAGGCAGCCATTTGAGCTGTGAACGGAATGAAGAAACGTGATCGAATTTACGTAAGCCAAAGATAAAGCGAATACAATTATTGAGAAGACGATCCAGTTTGTTAAGAAGTTCTTGAGAGGCATCAACATAGCATACATCTGCATAATCTAGTATTGGTAATACGAGCGTTTGAACCAACATTACCTTTGTTCTCACTGGAAGAAAATTCTTGAGTCGATACAGACAACGCAAGGTGTTGATAACTTTTTTGCTTACTTCCGTGACTTGCGGCCGCCAACTGAGAATTGTTGATTTTTTTGACAGAATTTTAATTTTTCCTTAAATTTTTTCCTGGACCTATACATATCATCATAAATAAGACCTCGTGAGGGTCGTCCGTACCATACCCGAGTCAAAAAATTTTGCCTGGCGTCCTGATGAGCGTCACGTACATATTTATTCCATCCGGCAATGGGTCGACCACCCCTCTTATTACATCCCTCTGACTATAATTAAAACTAATCTCCGCGGCCTCTTGGAGTGATAAGATTATATAACTGTAAAGTTTGTCAATTACGTTAATGTGCTCTAGACTCACATCATTACAAGTGGAATCACAACACTTCTCAAGCTCATGGGGAAAGTCAATTAATTTTAAATTTTCGTTACAAACTTTAGTTAAGATTTTAGTTTGTTGCTCATCACGTTCCCCCAGATTACTTTATTTAAAGTGGCCTGCGGCAGCCCCGTCGACTGTGTCAAAGTTTTAATATTGCACTGAATTTCTAGTGGAAAATGGTCTGAACATAACACATCATAATGCACCTTAACGTCAGTAACGGAACTACGGGCGGCCAAACAGTGGTCGAGCCAGCGCTGACTGCCATTAATTTCACTAATATATGTGTATGTGTTAGAACTATGACCTAACGTTTTTAGATCTATGCACTCCCAGTTTTGATCGTTATAAAAATTTATTAGTTCTTTACAAAAAAGCTCCCCTGGGTGTGCATTAAATTCTCCTAAAACAAATAGAGATTCAATGTTATTGTTTTCTACTATAGCCGCTATCTCGCCTTAGCATTCTATATACTCTACAAAATTTTCAGGCGAATTAGTAGGCATATAAACTGAGAAAACTAGCATTGAACGATTCATAACACAAAGTTTAATTGCAACTATACGGTCACTCGCGCACGGTATCACAGACACACACTCAAACTTTGAGCTATTCCATAAAAGAGCCACCACACCATATGGTCTTCCTCGCAATAGTCCTGATGACGTATCAACCGCTGACTTGCCAAAGTATCCGAAAGCTTTGTTTACATTGCTCAGTTCCTGAATTTCATGGGGTAACAGCCATGTCTCCTGTAGCGCAATAATATCAGCTCTTTGAATCATTGATCTGACGCAATCCATTGACCATTTGAGAGATTTACAATTGAATGAAATAAAAGTTGTACCATCCATACTATTTATAATTTATTTGTACCGCTGAGTAATGGAGTCCCTCTATTTACTTCCCTTTTGTGAAAGTCAACAAAGCGGCGGAAGGAAATTCCGTCTGGCCACAAGTTACAGTTTCAGAATAAGTTTAACTTATGCTTAGGAGGGAACACCTTGTATGAACTGTAGTGCCTTTGCTGCTTTGTTTTTATTTTTTGTAAACTTACTGGAATATTAGTTTTATTCTTTATGTAACTAATGATGTCATTTTCACATGTATCTATGTGTACATGATTTATAAACAGAGGTATTTTAATATCTGCTACACGAAACTTTTGCTCTGCATCTATACATGTGCCCTTTTCACTTAAAAAGCGGTTTCTGTACCTTTTTCTCTGAACAATTTTCCATTCTTCATTCTGCTCCTTGTCTTTCCAATGTTTATTATTACTTCGTACCATTTCCCCCATACTATGTCTAGTGTTTATGTCTAGTGTTAAATTGTTCCTCTTTGTCATCGCGTAAAAGGCCACTTCTGAACATGGATCTTTACCGTTGTATGGAGGATGAACGCCTGACAAGCATACTGGCGATTGTATTAAGCCGCGTCTCCACCAAAGTTTTGTTGCCAACAGGTGTTGCCAGCAAATGTTTCTGTCAACAAGCGTCTCCACCGGGGGAACAAATGTTGTCAACAAGCGCATTCCTTTGATGTTGCCGCCGACAATGGAAACAAGTTTTGTTGGCAACTGTTGTGTTGGCAACAAAACTTTGGTGGAGATGCGACTTTAGACACCCTGCACCTTTGACACTGCTCCCCTTTGCGGGCCTACGTATTAAGCGCTTGTAATCTGCGTTTGACGTAAACCGCTTGGTTATACCACCATCTATCTACAGTCTAAAGATCTTTCTGGCATTTTTCATAGTCGTCTCTTACTTCACTCACGCAATGAAATTGGATGATTTATTCATCTTACGTTTGCTGTGTAGTGGCGGGATAAGTACATCCACAACACTATATTATCCCGTCAGTATCCTAAGAGGCAACAGAAGAAACTGAAATGGGTAATGAGCAGCAGCACCTTTCCTCAAGCGTTGCAACTGCGACAAAAACAAAGTCCCCTCTGTTAGACAATCGGGAATCTATATGGAAAGCCTATGTTCGGCAGTTGACTTTTGACATGCTGTAATCAAAGACGTATTAAAAAAGATAGACATTAACATTTTTAACACTAACATTATTGTATTTTAAAGTAGCGCAGGTTGTACTATATCTACGTACAGTTATTTATTATGAGACGTTGCGCTAACAAAAAGAGACAAATGATACGGTATACCTATCATAAGAAAAAGATGGATATACATCATTAGTTGCGTATTGATTGCTGCTGAGCGCTCATTGGTGCGAGCGCGTGACATACCGATATGGAAATGAACACACAAGCTAGCGTCAAAGTTTACACTAGCGGTTAGTGTTGAAACAATAAAACCAATTATAAACAAAACATCTATATTCAAAATATTAATGAGACTTTTTCTTGTCTCTAACAGTTGCCGTGTAATTTGTGCACCACCTAAAAACACAGGAAAGCATTTTTAACACGAATAACTACAAGATTTACGCGCTGTACCGAAGTTATAGTCGCGACGCGAGAGCGTGCCCGACTGAATGCGAGTCGGGCCATTACCTGACTTTCGTATTGCCATTTTAGAGCGAGTATGACGTATCTATACTTTAAAAACATCTTAGGCTGTAATGAATGTATTATGGTTGAAAGATAGAATTAATAAATGAATGCATGCACGAATGTATAGTTGTAGTAATATTAATAATAAACAACCTCTTTTAATTTTTTCGTTACAGGTAGATCACGTTGCAGCCATTTTATGAGCTCCTGTTACCTCGCAGCGAGCATACGTCGACGTTTGCATATAATTGGCGTGCCTTGTGACAACACATGCCCCAAACAAGGCCGGTGGGGCATTCGATACGATAGGAAACCTATTGTTCTTGGAGATGAAATTCCTGATTCGTTAGTATAACATTTGTTTGTTTGAACAGTTTTCCTTCTTTGTTTGTTAGTTTCCTGGTAGGTAGGTATCTTCTCTTACCTATACCTATAATTTATTTGATTCTGCGCCTATACCTACCTAATGTTTTGACGTAACATTTCTTTTATTTGTGTCCCAGTTTTTAGATTAAGAGAAGCAATAATCACACACTACGAGACATTTTATGTTAATCCTCTATGTGGCATTTCTTTGCTTTTATAAATAGCTACAGGTTTCCAGCATTGGCTACAATAGCTACTACTGGAGTTAGTAGTACTGGAGCATACTTTTCAATTTATTTTATCTTTAATTCATTCAATCATTGCAGTGCATCAAAAGTCCACCGCTGAACAAATGCCTCCCCTATAGAATGCCTAATTGTAGTCACGGTAGGCAAGTATGCAGGTGGATTGGCATTTGCAAGATCAGTTTATCTCTGTCGCCTTTTACCACACCTGGTTTTTAGATATACATAGAATTGCACCTGGTGTGGGTATTCTTCCGCCGCATCTGCACAACATGAACAATTGAAATAGTTTTTTTATTTACAATAAAATATTTAAATTGATCATATACATATTTGTCCTGATATGATTATTTCAAAATTTTAAACAGATAAGCTTTAATTACAACATTACTACGATAACAACAATCGTACTTATAAATTGCGGTGCAATAATACGGATGAAAAAAAAAATAACCTTGTCATTAGATATAATTTGCATTTTATTTTAATTCGTCTCATTTTTTTTACTTTGATTTTGATTGATTTGAGCATGAAAGATATATATAAAATATCCTCCTTATTCCATTTATCTTTAATCTGTGATGTCAGCCTTTTGACCTTTACAGCTTCATCTGTCTCAGGGCTCTCATCTGTCTTAGCTGTATTCTTATTTAAGTAACTTTGAAGAGCGCTGCTCAATTTTAAAATGCTGTTAAATCTTGTGCTGTCTTTATCACTTTAAGTCAACAATGTTACACCACGAGACTAAACGACGTATTAAAATTGAGTAGCGTTTAAGTATTTGGTCATTACGAGTAGAATCTCTTTAAAGTTTGAGTATTTGGGTAGTAGAGGTCTAATTTATTTACGTATTTTAACCCTTTCCTTGTCCTATGTGTCATATATGAACATTTCAATTGTTTAACTATTGTGTCTGTTTCGCGCACAGGGAAGCTGTTATACAGCTATTATTACTTAATACTTTAATAGAGTTCATTGTTTCAGAACAAGGGGTATGTTTTGCGCGAAAGTAGATCACGACGAAAACTGTCCATTCGATTGATATGAAATGTATAGATAATGTGAATTTGTGAAGTACAATAATTTATTTATTTGGTTATTTAAGTAAAACAAGTGAAGGTAAAGTCAATTGAACATAAATTTGTTTATTTTTAGTTGTAATAAATTATTTTTGATAAAAATTAGTTTCATTTACCTTATTTCATTAACATCATCTTCATTACGGCTCTTCTGAATTCCACTGCTAAACATAATTCATAACATCATTTCATCACATTCTGAGCCTTAGTTCTGTACTTACCGGCGTCATTTTTGTTTATACATTATACATTTAAACAATTGTATAAGACCCACAATTATACGAATATAAGAAAGTCGAAATAGTGTTTCTTATTGTAATTTATGTTGGCAACATCGTTGCAATAGTTTGAGGTTTTTGCATTAGATTCAAATGTTAGCACGACATGCGAGTGAAATTGCTGATATCTGAGGGAAACAAGAAACGAGAAACACTTTTCCTTCAATAAAAAAACGTATCGTAGCTATAATAACTGTAGAATGATTATAGAATGTATTTCGTGTATTAAATACTTATATGTGAGTGTTTATTTACCCTCAAAACAGTAGTTCACATATTTACTAGTATTCTAATTTTGTATTGACATATATATCGCAGTAAGATAGTTAAGGCCGTGATGTAGTTATATCCCTAGGGATATAGCTATATACCGTGATATAGTTATATGAAAGCGGTTCATAACTATCCTACTAGACTATACTAGTGTAATAATTATAATTGTAGATTGCTTGTAATTTTCAGTCTAAATTATTTTTTACTAATTCTTTTTGAATCCTTTAAATTAAAAAGTTAAATTCTTTCAATATTACGTTTTATATCGTTATAATATACGCGGCTGAAGGGGGCCCAAGGGCCACCCCAGCCGCACCTTAACCTACTGTCAAAAAAGGAACATAACAACAACACAACAAGAACGTCAATGTCGCGAAATTTGTTCCTCCTGGACATTCAGTTTAAAATTATAATTATTTCACTAGATTAGTCTAGCAAGATAGTTATGAACCGCTTTCATATAACTATATTACGGTATATAGCTATACCCCTAGGGATATAACTATATCATGGCTTTAACTATCTTCCTACGACATATTCAATAGCTGATGTTGGGCCCGACCCGTGATTTGAAATTGGGACCACATGATCAGTAGCAGGACTTACTAACACTAGTCTATAAAGGCAGTCAATATGTTATAAAATACGACGGGAGATAAAAAAATTCGCGGAATTAAATGGAAAGGAGTTGAAAATATTTTTCCTTTTTTAATATATTCCCCATTAATTGTAATACACTTTTCAGACCGTTTAAATAACTTATTTATAACTAAAATGTTCAATCAACTCCACTTCTTCTTCATCTGTAAATTTCTTTCCCCCAAGTAAATTTCTTTTCTCTTTCATATTTGGGAACAAATAATAATCCGAATAGGAAGTTCGGTTTATATCTTGTGAACGGGTGATTTGTTGTGCAAAAGTAACACAACTCGAGACCACTTTCCACTTCTTTTTTCTTTATTCGCATCTTTTAATTTTTCTAGTAGTGTAGCGTAATACTGTCCCGTAATAATAATATATATATCTTTATAATTGATAAATAAAATCCCCTCTGAATCTCAAAACACTGAAGCCATAATCTTTACAGCCAATTGTGACATCTTGAACTTCTTAGGTGGTGCTGAACATGAATCCTGCTTTGACTAAGGTTTATAGTTAAGAACATAAGATTCAAACACACAAACACAAAACTCGCGCGACTTAAAACGGTCGTAGACTTCTTTTATTATATCTATGGTCGTAGATGATACTCCAGTCCTTTCTGCGATTTATGTTTTCTTCAAACGAGCATTTAGATAGATTTAGATATTTAGACAACAAGTTTTTAGAGGGAACTTCTTCAGACATAGCTGAGGAAGTTGCCTCGATCGGTCGGCCTGAGCGCTGATCATCTTCAATTGAGTCTCAGCCTTGCTTGAAAAGGCTATGCCAACTATTAATATCATCGTTTTTCCAGGGCTATAGTTTCCGTAAACACATGACATCTTTTACATAATGATATGTGGTGTTTAGTAAGAAACTTAATTACGGCACAAAACTCAATCTTCTCCGTAGTTAGTGTTCACTTCCTGATTGATCAAAGGTTAATGAACCGACCTGGCGGTACTTGGTATTTATATTTGTATTGAGTGACAAAGTAGTGACAGAGAAAGAAATCCTTCCTCTCTAACCCCCTCTGTCTCACGAATATTTTTTGACCCGCCCTCGTAGCTATTCGGCAGCAGTTTTTGTAGGTATGTAACGTGGTTCGAGTCTACAATTAGACAAAAAAAGGAAACAAGTAAATTCTGTTCTTTTTATCACTTTGTAGATTCCACTTTTATCCCAGACTATACATTATGTAATGTTCAATATGCATTAATATATATGAGATGTTTCTAGCACTTCTAAAAAATTCTCATGCAACATGCATACAACGACATGGTATGATGGATACTATTACGTCGCCATTACACGAGAAAAAGATAATGATATTGTCTTTTGTTAAGGTAAAAACGGTGTAAGAATATCCTGTCGTGAAGCGACAATTAAGAACAAAAAGAATCTAACCTAAGAGCAACAAAACAACAAAAATACAACAAAAACAAATAATATATTTAAGATTCAAAAGATATTTACAATTTTATATAACAAAAATGGAGTATGAAGATGAGGATGGATGATGTGATTTATAAATTATTTAAAAAAAGGTAATCAGGTGAATGCGGTGATTGCAGGATCCGGCGATTTCAGGCCAGACAGGGGCTTGCAGGATCCTCAGCGACTTCAGACAGCACAGAGGCCTGCAGGATCCGGTGACTGCAGGCGGGACAGAGGTTTGCAGGTTCCGGTGACTTCAGGCGGAACAGAGGTTTGCAGGTTCCGGCGACTCCAGGTAGAGCAGAGACTTGTAGGATCCCGGCGACTTCAGGCAGAGCAACGGTTTGTAGGATCCGGCGACTTCAGGTAGAGCAGAGGTTCGTTTGCTCTGCCTGAAGTCGCCGGGATCCTACAAGTCTCTGCTTAATTGTCGCTTCACGACATTTTGGCGCCCAACGTAAAAGTTCTCTTTCTCTTTTCTTCACCTTTACTGCGCCTTGTCCATTCCTTTTGATTTAATTGCTTCCTCTTTCGTTCTTAACTCTTTATTTATTCATCCTTTTCATACCTTCCAAATTCTAAAACAACACTTCATCTAGTGTTTCAACTTATCTGGATTATATTTAGACCTACATTTAACACTTACATTCATCACTTTAATATTTTTATTGTAGATAATCTTCCAAATTCTAAAACAACACTTCATCTAGTGTTTCAACTTATCTGGATTATATTTAGACCTACATTTAACACTTCACTTACATTCATCACTCTAATATTTTTATTCTAGATAACTTAAAGAGGTATAATTTTTTAATTAAATTTTTATTTCTTAAACTTAACTTTACAAATGTGACGGTATTACTTAACAATTCGAATCCTTGACTCCACCTTCAACTGAAAATGACTCGCCATCACTTGACCCTCCTGTTGACCCGACTGTAATGGAACCCCCTCTTGTTTCTCAAACTTCACCATCATTCTCATCTTCACCATCATTTTCACCTTATTATTTTTATTTCTTTTAATTTGTTTGTTTGTTTGGTTGGTTAATCTTCACTTTTTATTATTATTTCATACACATCTCGCTAGTGATGTTGCTGATCTCTGGCTTTGAGCCCTACCGCTCTGGCCGTTCTTAATCTTTACTTAAGTCATAGCGACTAAAGCTTGCTTAAGATTAATTTCTTTATCTTTATCTTCACTAGGAGCGGCTGACTACTCCCTTAATAATTTTTTTTTCCACGCAGGAGCGGATGACAACTCCTTAAATAAGCCTGAATGTCCTTTCGAAAACACACTTTTAGAGTGGTAGTCATTGAATGTGAACTCCACCCTTACCTGAATGGCAGATGATGAATGTAAGAGATAGTATATCTGATTTTGCCTGGTGATGTCTGTTTCTGCAAAGCTGTGTTTTTATGGTTTATTTTAGAATGTATATATCAAAATTTTTGCTGAGTCAAAAATTTTCCAGGGTCGGGGGGAAAATGTAGTGTTATGCTACTTACTTATCATTTTACATTATTTTAAATTCATTTTTCCATTCTGTTTCGATTTTCTGCATTCACCTCAAAACTGGATATTTTACATCACCTTTATTTCCATAGGATCCTGTAACGATTTTAAACCATAAGAACACAATAACAAATCATTTCTACTTCGTATTTTCACATTATCAGCACTTTTAAATTGGTGTCAATGGAGTCTACCTTTTTTCGATCTTTTATTTAGTTTTCCGTAACTCTGCAATTTCGGGCTTTGTGCGTGCAGTTGCGCTACTTTTTTTTCTATATCAATAATATCTCATTTTTCACTTAAATCTTGCCGTTTTTTTATTACAAGCCTAAAACCAAAATTTGACATGTTTTGACATTGTTGTTTATTTGGTCTCTATGGCAATTATATTCAAATTTGCTACCGGTCTGTTGTTTCTATTTCGATAATTCCACATAAATACTCTTTTCTCTTGACCATTTACAAAAAATTTGCGTTTAATTTAAATAATTTTTCCGTTCTCTCTAGAAAGGTATAAAAGCCGAACAATCGGTGAAGAAATTCAGTCTCGCTTCAGTTCTCGAATTGGAAGCATCTCCTAAAGGCCTTATCCCGGGGCCGCACTGCCCCGGGATCCTGCAAGCCTCTGTCCTGCCTGAAGCCGCTGGACTCTACGAACCTCTGCTCTACCTAAAGTCGCCGGATCCTACAAACCGTTGCTCTGCCTGAAGTCGCCGGGATCCTACAAGTCTCTGCTCTACCTGGAGTCGCCGGAACCTGCAAACCTCTGTTCCGCCTGAAGTCACCGGAACCTGCAAACCTCTGTCCCGCCTGCAGTCACCGGATCCTGCAGGCCTCTGTGCTGTCTGAAGTCGCTGAGGATCCTGCAAGCCCCTGTCTGGCCTGAAATCGCCGGATCCTGCAATCACCGCATTCACCTGAGGTCGTCGCCTAGAGACGCCCACGCCTTCTCACCTACGCCGTGCGTGCTCGTTCCAGGCGCTGAGAGCACACTTTGGATCTTCAGACTCAGCTTCGACACTAATCTCCTTTTTTTTATTACCTTTTTTTAAATAATTTGTAAATCACATCATCCATCCTCATCTTCATACTCCATTTTTGTTATATAAAATTGTAAATATCTTTTGAATCTTAAATATATTATTTGTTTTTGTTGTATTTTTGTTTAAAATCGTTACAGGATCCTATGGAAATAAAGGTGATGTAAAATATCCAGTTTTGAGGTGAATGCAGAAAATCGAAACAGAATGGAAAAATGAATTTAAAATAATGTAAAATGATAAGTAAGTAGCATAACACCACATATATAGCATACAATCCACTGCCTCATATCATTCCGTGGGTGTCGTAAGATGGCGTCAGAGGGAATCAAACCAGGAGATGGGCAGCAGCGTCGATCTAATAACATCAAGAAAATAAAAAAAAACTCAATCTGGTGGACAGTGTGCCCTTTTGTCACCCATATTCTGTTAAAAGTAGACATAATAGAATAAATAAGAGACATTTGTAATAAAAATATTTAATAAATTATTTTCTAAGAGGTACTATTTCTCGGAGTCAATGTGGTTGACATAAGAACGCATGAAAAGTTACAATTGTCGCTGTAGAAAATCGCTTTGAACGTTAGGTTTCCATATAAAAACATGCCTCCATAGTATTTCTGTGCCGTATTTTGTATATCTAAATTAATTTTGTAGTGTCCCTGTAAATTTGTTAGAGATAATTAACACCAAGAAACTAAAAGTATTATTTATTAAATCTTGATTAGACATTATTCGAGACATAGCGTTTTATTATGGAACATTTACTTTTTCTTCTAAACTCAAGCACTATGTGCAAATTCTTTTTTTAATCCACACTGTTTGAATCTTATCCAATATAATAGTAATTTCACCAGGACGCACCTCTAGACCAGGACAATTTTTTTAGGTTAATTTTTCAGTGAAGGTTCTGAACTCGAGTCCCTGCAGCGCTGCGACTAAAACCTTAGCTACTGTGCTACGGAGCTGTGCTGAAATTTAGTGACTATATACCCTTTGCTCTATGCATACTTTTGACTCACCAACGAGGTTCTAAATAAATCTAATTAAATAAAAGGTGGTAATAAAAGATGTCAGTTACGCGCTTGTCATTCAGCCAACTCTAGTGTGGTGTAGGAGAATTTTTTTTCAGAAAGAATTTTTTTTCTAGTGGTGGATTAAAAATTTGTAATAATTGTCTAAATAAACAAATTATACAGCATAAAATAATTATCACGCTTGGTTGGCGGATGTCTGATACCAGACTACCCATGGTTTTGCTTATACAGGGTAATTTTTAATTTACTGAAGACCTTTTGGGAATATATTATTTACATCATAACAACAACATCTGTAAGAAAAGAAATTATATTTCTTCAATTTTTATTTTCATACAAAAATAAAAATATTTTAATTGGACCTTCTAAACGGCAATAGTCCTAAATAGCAAAATAAAGCGCGTGGCGGGGTAGGGGTGGAGGGGTGTAGGAGGCGGCGCTTGCTCATTTGAACTTGACCTAATTATCTGTGTCGTCAGTCGGTCAGTCGCCTTTTGTGCGCCCGCGACTTTTCTCCTTCCGTTGTGAGATTAATATCGCGAACGTTACGCGTAATACAATGGCATACCGATACTCAAATATTGAGTATACCGAAATGGTGCGAATTTTAGCAATTTGCAATGATAACGTTAGTGAAGCCTGCCGTGAATATTCAAGGCGATTTCCCAACTCACGTGCACCGAGCTACGCTAAGATGCTAGGTAGGTACTATACAGCGATTGCGAGATTACGGGCAATTCCAGCCTGTATCAATCGATCGTGGTCGTCCACCGCGGCGCACAGTACGTGAGCAGGAAGACATACTGCAGTTTTTTGAACAAAATCCAGCAGCGACCACTTATGAGGCAGCCCGACAGTTCCATGTGTCACAGTACTACGCATGGAGTGTCATACACAATGAAGGGAAGTACCCTTTCCACTTACATCGTGTTCATGAACTCAGCGAAGCTGACAAACCAGCGCGAGTTACATTTTGTAACTGGTTACTAGCTGCTGAACGAGCCAACATTTTATGGACTGATGAAGCAACATTTGGCAGAATAGGACTATTTAATTCGCACAATGAACACTTGTGGTGCTATGAAAATGCACATGAACCAAGACCGCATAGCTTTCAACACCGGTTTAGTGTCAATGTGTGGGCAGGCGTCATTAATACAACGTTACTGGGCCTAGGTTAGTCTAATTTTTAAATTTGTATTTTAATATTTTTATTGAACCATTATACCTTAATATCTTTATTCAATTACTGTTAATTTGTATTTAATCATTATAATTATTTTAACCTGCATCCATGTTTTAAATACAACTTACATTAAATAAAAAAATAGTTAATAATACTCATTTAATTTGCACGTGCTGCAAACATCCATCACCAAATCGATGCCTGCAAACCGAAAAGGGCAGGCGGCGCCTTTGATGACGGTGACACCTGTGTCGACGTTATAATATATCCTTGGCTTGGCCTTGGGCCGCCGCATGTGCGACGTTGAGGCGTTGCCTCTTGGATGCAGGCAGAGTTGCTAGCAAACAGTATTCGTAAAAAAAACTACCTAAATGTCTATTAAAGAATGTCTATTAATTCTTAAAGAAATTAATAAAAGAATCAAATAGTGTTCATCAAATGGTTTTATGCAAAATAAAGAAGTATATGAAAAGTTAATGTAAAGTCATTTAAAATGGCGCCCTGGTGGAATAGGCACAGTGATGAATGGTTTAGTAGGCTCTCGCAACTAGGGTTACCATATCTCAGGATTTGTCCTGAGATTTCAGGATTTTTAGACTTCTCAGGATTGCGGATGGATTTTGCAAATCTCATGAAATCTCTGGATTTTTAGAACTTTTAATATAATACAGCTTACATTTTAAAAGATCTCTTAATAAAAAGTTAAACAAACTAAAAATAATTTTCCTTTGGTAATAATTCCACAATTAAAATCAAAACTTATTTATCCAAGTAGGTACTTAAACAGTTTTATCATACTTAATATGTGAAGATACCTTTTTAAGTAAGGTTTTCTTCTCAAACTGTAAAACAATCTCAGGATTTTTAAATGGAAATCAGGCCTCTTCTCCGGACTTTTAATTTTTTCATCTGGTAACCCTACTGGCAACGCAATCAGCTGAGCGCGGGCGTCGACCGGCCCGGCGGCAAGAATTACTTATTATAAATTTTAATTTTTGTGGTTTTTTTTTGAATGTCATTTGCTCATTTAATTATGTTTAATGATTTCAACACAATGTTTGATACTGTATCAAGTGTAAAAATGCCTTATTTAGGCATTTTCTTTGACGATTTATTCTGAGATTGTTTAGGTACTACAAAATACAGACTTAAAAGGAGTCAGACATGACAACAAAACCTTAAAAGTAGTTTTTTCGTAAATGTATTATATTCTGTGAAGAGTGATCTCACTAAAATTGTTTGTAATGATGTAACCAATATATTCCCAAATGGTCTTCAGTAAATTAAAAATGACCCTGTATATCAGAGGTCATCATCTTTTTCAGGAATTTCCTTATGTCGCATTTTAGGACCAAATAATGAGTCTTATTTTTTCACACGGATAAAAATTACAATAAATGAATTACATGACCATGTAGTGGCGGCATTAAGTGGCTTAAGGATATCCACTGCCCCATATCGTCAAGTGGGTGTCGTAAGAGGTGACAGAGGGGTATGGGACGAGGAGATGAGCAGCAGTATCTACATTATCAGCGTCGGTGCCGGTGTACCATTAGCACTTTTACCTCCGGAATACTGTAAAAACATAACTTGGTACTTCATTTAAAAAGAGGCAAACAATTACTTTTAGAATAACACAATCCTTTGTGGCATTTAATAGTGACACGAACAAAGGCTTTAGAAATAGATGATCGCAAGGTTTCTTCATCTGAAGCCTTACTAGAGGTTTTCCGTTCGAAATGACCACCATCTTGACCTGTTGAAATATTTAGTATAAACACCTATAGATGTGATATTCTGCAAAAGTAAGTATAAAAATATTAGCTTTGGACCAGTGTAATGCAAGTTTTGCAACTCCGCACAGGCATTGTAGTAAAGGTGATTGTAGATACGACTTAGGGACCTTCAAAAAACAAGTTAACTCCTTTTTAAAAGGCTACACACCTGCAATTCCACTGGTGTTGCAGTTGTTCATGGGCGGCGATCGACACTTACCACCAGGTGAGCTGGATGTTTGTTTGCCTCCTCTTCTATAAAAAAGGTGACAAAGGAGCACATAGTTCACTGTATTTTTCATTAAGAATTAAAATACACATGCATAATCACCCCTAAGGACTGAGATGAAATGCCGGGTTACCAGTAAAACAGATCTCCGGTTCTCATTTATTTATACTTAACTGTATACCTAAATAAAACACAACAACACGAGTCGTGTGGAAATAATGTGATAGGTGCCAAAAATAAAAAGAAAATCATGATAATCATCATCATCATTACAGCCCTTCACAAGTTCACTGCTGAACATAGGCCTCCCCCAAGGAATGCCACAAAGCACGGTCCTGAGCGACCTGCATCCATCGACTTCCTGCATATCTTACCAGGTCGTCACTCTATTTAGTAGCAGGGTAAAAACTATTTTCTCCATCGGTTGTCGGTTCTTCCAGCTATATGACCGGCCCATTGCCACTTCAGCTTACTAAACCGTTGGGCTATTTCAGTCACTCTTGTTCTACTGCGGATATTCTCATTTCTGAGATTATCACGCAAAGAACGTATTCGTCAACAACTTCGAGCTTATTGCTCCCAACAATTACCGGCATAGGTGTTACATGGACATTGCACATGACCTTTGTTTTTAATCCATGTGCATATCAATTGGGGGACACTATTGAGGTCGTTGAGCATAGTGCTTAGGTCCTGCAGCGATTATTCCATAAGGACTATATCGTCGGCAAATCGAAGGTGAGTGATTTACTCACCATTGATGTTAATACCGTATCCTTTCTAATCCAGTAGCTTGAAAACGTCTTCCAATGCAGCGGTGAAGTGTTTCGGGGATATAACGTCACTCTGTCTTACAACTCTCTGCAGTTAGATAGGTTCCATACTCTCGTTCTGTACTCGGATAACCTTACTGTACAAACACTTCACAGCACTTCGATATACCGCAAGTCAGCTTGGCACCGCAGAACGGACTGTAGCACCGCCCAAATTTCGACGGAATCTAAGGATTTCTCCCAGTCCACATACGCAAGGCAAAGTAGCAGATTGTACTCTTCGGTTTTCTGTACAATTTGCCAAAATATATGTGGCCTATGATACTTAAGCCTTTTCGGAAACCACTTGTTCGTGAGGCTAGAAGTCATCGAGTCTGTGTGCGAGACGATTCGTAATGACTCTCGAAAATAGCACGTAGACGTGGCTCAGAAGGGAAATCGGTATCTTCAAGAGAGCGTTATTGCTTTTCTTGAAGAACAAGACCATCGAACTTCTGATCCACGCCCCCGGAGTAGTCCCACCATGGAGGACGTAATTGAAGAGCTTCTGTAAGACTTAGAGTACCGGTTTTTCACCCACTTTCAGAAGCTCCGCTGTAATTCTATCCTAGCTTGGGGCTTTGCCGGTTTTAAGGTGCCGGAGAGCCATTCTAATCGCGCTCAGACTGACGTCCGGGATATCATCGGAATTGTGTATGTATAATAAAACTTGCTCTTTAATCGTTACGCACACTAGCGTGTAGTCGACCAGGTCCACTCCCTGTGGAGCCGCTTGTGGAAAAAAGAGTTCATCATAAAGTGTCCCTCTTTCTCCATGAAGTCGGCCAGCTGCTGGCCCTTTCCGTTGCCTTATTCCCAATTTCCCTAACTTCAGCTCACCGTTCCCTCTTGTGTCTAGATTTGCATTGAATTCTCCCATTAACACTGTTTAGGCCCAAAAATGGTCATTTGACGGCACCCAATCACGTTCGACTTAGCGAATCGTCCGATGGTGTTAGGTGTCACGCGCGCCGCGGGGAGAGGGCAGCGGTATGCAGTTTGCGGGCGTTTTGGCACGGCTGGGCGAGGTAGTAGCTTGAGGGCAGCGGAGCAGTCAATTAGTGTATTTTGTTGACCGCTGCAGATGTTTCTCGCGACCGGTTTTTGGGGTTATGGTTTAGATTTTTAGAATTTGTGCGCGTTACTTTGCTACTGAATTTGGTTTTGTTGATAAAGCCAGTTAACAATCTAATTTATAAATACAAATAGTATACTTGGTACATAACCTTGACCCCTCCCTCTTTAACCCTTTCCATATGTACGCACAGCCGTTGGAGGTGACAAAAACGCCACGCAACTGCAAAATAGTTGCATTCTTATAGTACCCGCAAACAAACCGCACGAAGGGGCATTGAGTCCTTCGACCACGCCTTAATATTAATTTATCACCGGACATTGTGTCCTTGTAATTCCACAAATGTGACGCGTCTTCAGCGAGTACAATAAGTCGAGAGTTGAGGAGTGTGGTATATCAGAACTGATCCAGAGTGCGCGCGCCGGACCACGTGGTGACCTGCAGTTAGCTGACGCCCCGGGAGGAAGAATGCGAGGCAGCCCTTCACAAGGTTAGTGCGTGTATTCCACTCTCATCCATTTTCCTTGCTCTGCTCGTTGTATGTACCAAAATACAGTCCACAAAACTTTATCGAAAAATCAGTTACTAGTGCGTCCATTTGTGAAAACCGCCTGGGTTTAGTTTGTCTAAGTTTAAGTTCTTGACGAGAGGCTTGTATTGTATTTGACTGATTAAATTAAGTTCGTTTGAAAGTCGTCGCCCAGTTGATTGTTTTGGAAATCATTGTTTAATTATACCGTCGCGTTAAGAGCCTTTTTGTGTTGACTCTGTAGCAAGTTTACGTGTCAGCTAGGTTAATTTTCATTCTTATTGCGGCGTGGTATTTAATATCGAACGAAGGAGTTTAGTTGTTGTTTGTAACGCTGAACCTTGTGATTCATGAAGAGATCGCGTTAGTTCCCCATTTGTAATTTGGTGATAAATGAATCCGGAACCTTGAATATTGAACTTTGAACTACTGTTCGTTACTTGTGTCGAGTATCACGTGTTTGATTTACGATGAACGTTGAATTAGTTGAGTTGAAGTTAGTTAAATGTACAATAAGGTTGATAGACTGAAATAGTGACATGAAGAAAGGAGTTGTCCCTTGGTGACGCCTGCTGGGGTGATGCAGCATTGTGCCAGTGATGACGCCTGTTGGAGTGATACAGCGTTGTGGGGCAGCATGGAAACCGGCCGCTACCCGGTCACCTCAGCTGGGCCAGGTCACCTACATTTACACATTAACAAACATCACTTTACATGCACCTACCCTACCTACGGCCTGACCGAGCCTTGGGGCGGTCTTAGATTCGGATCCAGGTACGTACTATTTATTTTCCTAGCCTTCTCCCTATTGTGTAGTATGATAGGTCATTTGTCCATATGGCCATTCGGGCCCAAACCCTCGGCTGACCGTCGAGGAGGCTACTATGGGCCCTAGCTAAGGCGACCTTGCAAGGGCTTGCTTGCCTCATACATTTCCTCCACCTCCTCATCGGGATGTGCGGATTTTGGTGCGTAAACCTGTATGACCTTCAACGAATATCGTTTGATGATTCTGAATATAAGGTACGCAACCCTCGTTGATATACTCACAATCTTTACTACGTTGTTAACGAGAAACTTGTGGACGATAAATCCGATACCTCCTTGGGACAGATGGTCGCCTTCCCAGTGATAGAACAAGTTGCCGGATTCGAGGATTACCGTGTCTTTCCTCTCTCTTTGGACCTTAGATAATCCTATAATATCCCAGTGCAACTTGCCTTTCTCTTTTTTCAGCTCCAGGATCTACTCGTCAGTCCTCAGGGTGCGTACGTTTTATGATACCAGGTCGAGTCGTTTTAGGTGTAAACCGAATCTTCACCGGATATTCTTAGCACTCCCTGCCCTGCCGTTACCATGGTAGCCAGGAACAGCGGGGTCGCCGGGAACTGGGGGTCGTCTATTCGTAACTTCAATTATGAGGGGGTTTTGCCACAGTTGACACACAAATCGCAAATTTTTTATTGTTTTATTGCTGTTATTAGGAAGATGCCGCTACCCATCTCCTGCCTGTTTCCCACTGTCGCCTCTTACGTCACCCACGGGAAGATCTGCGTTAGTGGGTGTTCTTAACCGCCCCTACAAGATGAACAAGAACATTATAGTAAAGAGTTAAGATTATACTTAGTTAGCACTCATACGCAAAACATAGACATAACAAGATTACCACTGTAAGACTTTAAGATACTGCATTATATGCATAATTATTGCAACGTGGCTCTACAGCGTACCACAGTGTGCGCGAACTACACCAAAAAACTCAATGGGCTCACGTTCATAAAAGTTCGCCAACCGTCAGAAACGTCCGCGACAGATGCTAAATGTGGCAGTACGTTAAATCATTAGAACTTTAAAAAACTTGAGAAGGAACAATTGTGTGCTTTGATGCGCTTTGGCACGTACATATAGTCGTACTTTCAATAAATTTCCACGTACTGTCCACGTGTCATTGTCAACGTAATCTGGCGGTGCGGTAATAAGTGCGTTATGCTATATAGTTTGATGTATTCATGGTCAAAAATTACGCTGCGGACTTCTCGTCGTCTGCGCAGGCTCAGGCAGAGATTTGGTTTGCTCCAAATTTGTCATATTTTATATTAGTTTATTTAGATATTATTACAGCGTGTATTTCGTTATTAATTTTGTTTAGCACATACAGTTTTAACTAGTCGCCTAGTAAAAACTGTGTGTGCAAAACAAAATGGAAAGTTACGAAGAAGAACCTATCATTATTTATTGCTTTTAGACAGAAGAAGAGGAAGAAAAAACTAAATGTGACATGTGGAAGCGTGACATATTCAAGATAATATATAAGGTAATTAGTTGTTGATGGTACG